CACAGCCCAGAATGACAAGGAGCCACAGGCCCGGGAGATTTATTAAACATCCAAGCATAATTTTCCATTAACATTTCCTATTTTGGCATCTTAAAGAGAGTGGAAGTTGATTTCGGTTCAACATCCTGTGGGGAAATTAGCTCATTTTGCTAACGTATCTTAATAATTACAGTGACATCAAGGTTAATTGCTTAATCTGGTTGCCACGGTGCAGGCCACAAACTCCCCACGCAATCTGTGCTATAATTAGTGCCAGGGTGTCGGTGCTGGGAAGCCATTTTCACAGGAAACGCGGAATCGGGCAAGGTGAGCAGGTAGGTGACAGGAGGGACCTTGTGGCAGACTTCCCGTGCAGCCAGGTGCCGTGGGGCGTGCGGGTGGATGGGCATGCACAGGTCACTGTGTCCGGCAGCCGTCCTGCACCTGCCCCGCACGGCACCACCACAGGGAGGGATCCTGCCCCCCAGCCCCGCCTGCTCACTGCCCTCTGTCCCACGTGGCAGTAGCCTGCATCCAGACCTTGGGCCCCCCTGGCCACAGCTGCAGGTGGTGACAAGGACCCACGCCATGGAGAACACGGAGCCCCAGGCAGTGCCTCAGACACACATTGAGGACAGCACAGAATCCACTCAGGAGAGAGTGCACCAAGAGGGATGGGGCCTATGCTGGGGACACTCGGGCCAGCCCCTGGCCAGCTCCACACTCAGAGAGGACCCCAGTGGCTCCCACCAGAAGGCCTCGTTACCAGGGTGGTGTCCTCGTCAGCAGGGGAGACACCAGAGAACCTACATTCTCATCTGTCTTTGTCTCTGTCTGTCTCTCTCCATCTCTCTCTGTCTGTCTGTCTGTCTCTCTTTCTCTCTCTCCCTCTCTTTCTGTCTCTCTAGGAACACAGAGGAAAGGCAGATGCAGGACACGGTGAGAAGGTGGCTGTCTGTAAGCCGGGGACAGTGTCCACCCCGCCAGCCTGGCCAGCACCCTGACCTTGCACTTCCAGCCTCAGGGATTGTGAGAAATCAGCCCAGCCTGCAGCCTTGCGTTCTGATAAATGCCACCGAGGCAGTGGCATTTATCGTCCAAGGAAGTTTCTTTTTATTCGTGTTTTGCTGGGTTTATTTCTTGTTTTAATTACGGATGGATACCAGATTTTGTCAAACAGTTTTTCTGTATCAGTTGAGATGATAGTGTGCTAATTATTTAATCTTGACCGGGGCTGGGGATTTAGCTCAGCTGCACAGCACCTGCCTGGCAAGTACAAGGTCGTGAGTCCGATTCCCAGTACTGGAAAAAAAAATAATGATAATAATCTTGACCAGCCTGAACTCCAGGAGAGCCCTCTCTAGACAGAGTGAGGCATCATCCTCACTCACACTCATGCACACTCACTCACACCTCCAACCCCTGGCCATCCCTGACTCTCTGGGTCCCCAACTGAAGTCCCAAGCCCACCTCATTGCCTTCCCGCTGTATGAACCCTCCTTCAACTCAGGGCACGTCCTCTCCTCTCTCAAATGTTCGGCCGTGGCAAATCAAAGCACGCTAGCTTTGGGCTGTTGTTCCTGCTTTGACTCCAAAAGCTTGGTTTCAAGTTCAGCACCAGTGTTTAGGTGAGGGCTGCTCTGCCCTCCTCTTCCTCACAGGCAGATATTATTTGTACCAGGAGCAACATGCAGCACTTAACGGTTTCCTTAGGGCTGGGATGACTGGGACATCAAGGAGGAAACGTTCACAGGGGTCTCCACACTTGCTGCAGCTTTCCTTGCCCTGGACAACGCAGATGCTCAAAATTCCCTGAGCACCAGGCTCTTCCAATTTGTCTACCCATCCATCCAACTGTCTCTCCACCTATCCATCTATCCATCCATCGTCCATCTACGCATCCATGTATCCAGCTGTCTTCCCATCCATCTAACCACCCACTTATCTGACTATTCATCCACCTACCCATCCACCATTCTGTTCATCCATCCACTCATCCACCCATCCATTTATTCATCTATCCATCCACCTATCTATCCATCCACCCACCCAACCAACCCCCCATCCACCTACTCATCCATCCATCTGTTCATCCATCCACCTACCCATCCCATAGGTGCAGCATGCATTTCTGATAAGGTAGGGAGGAGGTAGCACCTGGCTACGGAGTTGCCTCTTGGGCCTTGTTTCTGAGCAGACTTGGTACAAACCAGGTGACTGTCACAAACCTTGCCTGTGCCTAGCACCAGCCATATGCATGTAGAGTGTGGGGCATCTTCTGTTCAGAAAAGCAGTAAGATGCTACTGTCCTGGAAGGACTGTGCCCCAAGGGAGGGCTCAGCAGGTCTTGCATTGATGAAGATGGACACATAGCCCTGGGATCACAGGAGATTTTCCAGGGAGTATCCATGGCAACAGAAAAGAGCAAACCGAAGCATCATCCCACAGCCAACAGAAAAAATCATTATTGTCTTTCCAGAGAAGACAATACTGGGTGTGTCTGTGCTCTCAGCAGCATGGGTGCCCACGTGCATTCAGGTCTGCATGTGTCTCCTCCCGTGTAGAAAGCAGAGGAGTAAAGCAAATTACAAGTGCAGTGGTGTTCTCAGCCCAGGCCTGTGTGCTTACAGCAACGCAGAGAGGACACAGGAGGTGAGCTGCTGATTTGCAGGGAATGTTCTGGAAAGAACCCTGTCAGATTGGAAAACCCACGGGCTCTCAGTCTCTTTGACGTAGGAATAAGGGATGTGTGTGTTGTGGATCCAAGGCTTCTAGGGAGGATCCTGAATGACAGGGTGAGGACCCACTGCTTGCTGATCCGTGGCCGAGGCCCCTCTCCCGACCCACGAGGAAGGAGCCTCGTGCAGGGTGGAGATGCGGGGCCGGCCTTGGCCTCGTCCCTCCGGTGACACAGGACTTAGCTCACTAATGTCCTTGGGACACTTAATGGCATTTATTACGTCCATGAAATTGGAAAATGTCGATAAATGCCTCCAATAAATACCTGCCAATTTGAAATTCTACGAGCAGCTTTCTTTGAGCACAATTTAGGAAACATGAAGTTACACACTGAGGAGATTCCCAGAGCGCCTTCCACACTGAACTGACATCTGTGGAAGTTTCCCAGAGGCTGAGGAGCCGCTGCCCTCCCCAGACAAGGGAGAAGGAAGGGCTGAGGGTCAGGTAGGCCCGGCTCGCATCCGGCACAGACCTGACTCTCCAGGCCGGGCGAGCTGGTCTCTCCCCTGACAGGCCGCCTGTCACCCACCTTGTGGAACTGCAGGCTGAGGGAGTCTACACCGCTCCAGCCGCTCACTGCTGCCACAGCACAGGGCACCCTTCCCCCTCGGGACACGCGGGTGCACGGCGCCTGAGCGTCGCTTGCCCTGGAGATGAGTTAAGACCTCCTCAAGTGGACAGCAGCTCTTTCTCCCCCTTCCTCCCCCCGCAGGCAATCGTGGGTTGGAAGGCGTCTCTGTTCCCTAAGTTTGTTTGTTTCCACGGAACTCTGCACCGACCTCCTCTCATCCATTTCTAATCTGTTTTGTGACGGGAACTGTGTGGATCGCTCTCCTCTGACGAGAACAGCTCGGCAGCTGGGCCATCAATCTGCGTCCTCCCTTCCTGCAGCAACCGCCCGTCACCAGCACCTGGCCAGAACTTCGGGCGTGAAGTCGGGTTTGCAGCCCCACTGTGCGTCGCCTAGCTGCTCTTCTCTCCACAGGGCCTGGAATCTCAGCTGACAGCTCCGAGGTTCCCATCACTGCAGCCCCGAGGAAGCAACGCTCCCCACACCGGTCCCTTGCAGCTGCTGACGGCTGTGAGCCCGGCTGAGCTGAGCACAGGCCGGTCATTGTTCACAGGAAAGGTGGCCAGGGCTGGGCGCCCACTTGGCCATAGCTGCTGTCCCTCCAGACTCAGGGACATGAGCAGACAGTCGGCGCCTACTCCGTGCAGGAGCAAGGGGGCAGAGCTGGCTCTGCATGTCCTTGAGCCCTGGCCAGAGCTCCGAAGAGGCCAGGAGGGACAACCATCTCCCCCGCGCCCCACGCACCAGACAGGGGATGGCAGAAGGAGGCCATTTCCCTAACTGCTGCACAGCCGCTCACACCAGTCCCTGCCCATCTTCCTGGGTCCCCACCTGCCCATCCACCACTGCAGCCCTGACTCTGCAGGTCTCCCTCAGCCCCATCCGGGGACCAGAACTCCTTGGCTGTCAGCTCCAGAGCCTCGTCCTTCCTGCCTCAGCCTCAGCAGCCTGAAGATCCATCTGCAGAGCCCAAGGGTCACGAGCCCATGGATGACGGGGCGATGTGAGGGCCCCAGGGCCTCTGGGGACCCCTCACTGCTCCCCAGCCTCACCCAGGAGTCTGTGCTGATGGTAAGGGTGGAGGAGGTGATGAGGTCCGGGCCGCAGGCAGAGTTCTGCAAGTGGAGAAGCCGGATGAGGCTCACAGGGATGGAAAGGCAGGTGGGGACCCGGAAGCGCCTGGGTCGGGACTGGGGGTGTGGATGGGAAGAACACGAGCGGAAGATGCAGCAAGAACCCAGGCCCAGGCCCTGGCATGTCTGCACCAAGAGACTAGGGCCAGCCTGACGTCCCCACCAACCCTGGGCTGGAGGCTCCTCCGGCCCCAGCAACCCTAGAAAGCAGCAGCGTGGCTCCATCTTCCCAGGGCAGCTGGAGGGGCCCGGGACCCCACGACCCCGTGTGGTGGACCACAGGGCGTCTGCTCCAAGCCACGTCCCACGCAGCCTCAAAGCACGGTCACAGCCTCGTCCCGTCACAGGTCCCGGACACGGATGCGAAAACTGTCCCTGAAGGGAGATGGGATCGCAAAAACCGAGACAGAAGAAGCTGCAAACAATCTGTCACCCCAAGAAGAATAATTAATCGAATGCCAAATGGGAAAAACCAAGAGTTTTGAATAAATGTAGAGACACAGTTATAAGAGCAAAATATTATCATTTGTCCAACATAATTATTTTCTCGGAAACCATCGATGATTAATAGGGCACATTACAAATATGCTCCCGAGCCTCAATTTCATCTCCCCAGTCTAATTAACATGCTAGGGAATTGCTCTTTTGGTGGGCAAAGACATTTAAAATATATATTTCATGAAATCCGAGTTATTTGTCATAAGCTCCAAAAGGAAAAAATAAAATATGGAGAATGCTACAGTCGTTTAAATAGTTTATGACGTGGCTGCGTGTGCATAAATGAGTTCTGATGCTCCGGGCACCGGGGACGTCAGCCCGGGACCCTGCGGCCCGCTCCTCGCCGCGTTCCGGGCCTCTTTTTCACACCTGCTGCTCCAAAGCACCGAGTGAGTCCCCAGGCACCTCAGGGATGACGGTGTGCGCTTGGACCACGCAGGGCCTCTGTGCACCAGGCTTTCTGCACGACCCTAGCCAGGAGGGGCCGTGTGCTGTGTGTGGGGACAGAGATGCCATAGATGCTGCTGCTGCTGCTGCTGGCCAGAAACCACGCTTCCACAGGGGACGGTGCTAGAGACACGCCAGCAGCACAGGGGGCTGACCGTCAGTGCCCGGGGCAGTGCCCTGGCCAGCACCCAGTGCCACAGTGGGGACACAGCCCCCTGAGCTGCCGAAGAGAAAAGCCACAGGTGTGTACATGGGTGCCCCCCACCAGCCTCCCGTGGGCACCCCAGACCGCCTCCTCCCACAGCCACACTGCACCTCCCAAAGCCATGCGGTGGCTGTGACTTGTCCCACAGACAAAGCCCAGGTGGGACTTGGGCTGACACAGAGGGGGTGGGGAACCTGGGAATCCGAGAGAAGGGAGGACCTGGGGAGTCTGGGGGCCGCTGTGGTCTCCTCCCCCTCCCCACCTCCTTTTCTTCTTCCCTTTCCTGTTGTCTCTTTTCATGCAACTCCACCCCTCCCTCCTTGTCCCCAGATCAGTTCCCCAGCCCTCGAGTGTCCTCTCCACCCCGCTGGGAACAGACCTGGACACTCCCTAAGCCGTACGCCTCGTGGTTTTGGCCCTCGAGAGGGCTCTGACTTTGGTAGTCTCTGGTGCAGACTGGCATTGGTGGCCTGGCTGAGTCTGGCCACCCCAGTACGACTCAGAGCCCTCGGTGCTGGCCCAGTCCTGGCACAGGAGCATGGGCGACACAGTCTCGCCACTGCCCTCTGCATGGGCCACAGTCCACTTGGCTTTGTTTGGGAAACATGGTTCTGAAGTCTCCAACACAGCGGCCCCAGGAAACGGTTTTCTGCACTCACCACAGACACATTAGCCAGCTTCGATTTCCTTCTGACACAAAGGCCCCAACCCGGACACTTCCCAGAATCCTTGCAAGGTGGGCGGAGCATGGAGATGTCATCATCCCTCGGGGCCAGGACAACACGCAGTCAGGCTTTGGGGGGAGGCAAGGGAGGACAGCACCACCACCCCCGAGTCCACCGGAGGGAGGCGGCAATCGTCAGCACCCGGAGCCACCCGTCACCCTGCAACACCTGGAAAGAAGGTGGACACAGAGTCACCCCAACCCGGCAGAGAGGCCACCAGGGGCCAAGGCTGCGGGCATCTTCCATCCTCGCTGCCCGGGCCCAGTCCTTGAGTGGACGTCTAGCCAGGCACAGTGGGGAGGAGACCACACAGGTCCGCGGCAGAGCAGAAGGGACCCTGACGGCACCCACTCTGTTGGCCCCTTGGGGCAGCAAGGCTGGACGTCCCAGGTGCAGAGCTTCCCGGGAGGAAACCGCACGCTGCCCCGTGCAGCTCACCCGACACAAATGATGGCAGGGCTCAGAGGGGGGACTTGGAAAATCCCCAACAGTCACCCCAGGGAGAAACGCAGCGCTTGAGCATGCAAAGCAGAGATTCTCCTAAACAGGAAAAATTAGGTGTTTCGAGGGAGGAAAGTGTACAAATCGCAATAAATCTGCAGCGGCTCTGCACTTGCTTAACCAAAATGTATAAAAAATTCAGAAAGCAAAAGACATTTGAAAGTGTAGAAAAATGATAAAGACCAGGATCAGGCAGAGGTTTAACCACCTCTCAGTCCGCAACCACTTATGCAGAAAAATACAAAGCCGGGATGTAGGGTATATGAGCACCAAGATAAATTCCTGGATGTAGCACATATTTGTCAAATATGCATCCTGAGAGCGTGAGGAGAGTCTGCTTTCTGCGAGGAGTCTGTCTTCCCGCACCTCTAGAACGTTCACTGAAAAGGAACTCATATTAAGCAACAAAGGCTCGCAATAAATTCTGAGCAATGAGCCCCGTGAGACGGATTTGCTGAGCCCAGCAGAACGAAATCAGAATGATTAGAGGCAAATTACAAACAGAAAACCCTCAGAAGTTACCCAAAGAATCGCCCCGTATCGTTCCTGGGTGGGAGAGGGAGCGAGACCGTGGTCAGACAGGCTGCCTCGCGATGAAGGGCACGAGAACGGCTCCTCCGCAGTGCAGAGGCTGAGTGTGCCTCGGGGTGACCAGCCTGTCTCCGTCACTTTTCTCACTGCTGGGACCAACTAGGAGGAAGAGAGGTTTGTTTTGACTCGCATTTCAGTGCCCGGCCGGCCACTCCACGGCAGGGCGGCATGGTACAGGGGCCTGGAGGAGGGGAGCTGCTTGAGGCATGGTGGACAGGAAGTGGGGAGGGAGGGAGGACCAGGGAGAAAGACGCAGCCACCCAGCCAGACCCCACCTCCTGCAGCCGTCAGCCCCCCTGAGCCAGCCACTTCCCTAAGCTCCCACCTCCGAGACCATGAGGCCTGGGGGGCATTGAGCTGTGAACCACAGCACAGTGAGGACCCCGATGTGCTATGGCACAGGGAACTGAGCTCCAAGCACCTCCCCCAGCCCCAGGACCACAGCCCGGCTAACCTGACAGAAATTCCAGATGTGTCCCAGGTTGTTATGGTGATACACTGTGTCACCTTGAAGAGTCTAGAAGCTTAACTAAGTGACCCAGGAATTCTACATCCTGGGGTGAAAAGGACACGCCCTTCCTGCTCTGGGATGTTGTTCACTGCGTCATCTTGAGAAGTTTAAATCAACTAAGTGATTCAGCAGAGGGCCAGGGTCCTTACAGGGGACATGGAGATGGTGTGGGTGTGGGCAGGTAGCCAGCGTACAATATGAGGGGGGAAAGCGGCTTGCCACCCTCCTTTTTGCTCTTGTTGCTCTTGCTGTCTTCTGCCACCTTGAACTGTTGCCTCTCACCATGCCACCCTGCCTTGGAGCCAGCTGATGATGGACTGAAACCTCCACAAACCGTGAGCTACATAAACTTTTTCTTCCTTAATTTTGGGCATTGGATATTCTGTCTCAGCAACAAGAAAGTGACTAAGACACAGGTGAGGGACCTTCACAAACCCTGGCACAGCACCGCTCAGAACCAAAAAATCAGGAAACGGTTACAGCCAAGACCCGCGATGGCTAACAAGAGGACCGGGTGAAGACAGAGGATGTGGACAGACCGTGGGCTGCGGCCCATCCTTAGGTGTCAGAGCTGGCTCGTTAATTGTGACAAATGTGCCATGGTCATAGGAGACGCGGCAACAGGGGAGGCTGGAGCGGGGCCCACAGGACGCTGTGTTCCTTCCGCTCTTTCTGTAAGTCTAGATCTGCCCTAAACATTAAAGCCTGGACAGAATGAAGGACAATGAAAAAGATTAATTGCATTATTAAAAATCTGGATCATGGACCATTAAAAGTGGGTAAACTTTAAATATTGATAGTAAAGGAAGCCCATGTTCTGATGCTAAGGAAAAAATAATAATTGGCAAGATGGCATCTATATTGCAGCCTCCTTTTTGTTTAAAGTTCCCCTGGCTGGGTTTCACCTGTCCTACGTGGGAGTGAGGTCCGTGACAGAGTCCCCCGCGTGCGGTGGCACTCACAGGTCCCCGCCTGTGCCCAGGCGGGAGGTCAGCACTGTGAGAGGCAGGGGTCTCCTCTCAGACCTGCGCACCTGACAGTGCTGCAGTCCCCTACACAGGGCCTGTCAGAGTCTAACCCTCCTCTAACATAATTTAACACACGTGGCATGATGCGACCCTGCAGAACAGTTCTGTGGCTTGGCGTAGAACAGGCTCAGAGCCCAGACCTGCGTGGTTCACTGGGAGAATGAACACAGACCACCCGGTGGCCACCTCTCCGGGGGCCACCCGGAGATGCGTCCACTCCCTGGTCTCCTGAAGGGACCTCAAGGCCAAGGTGGCTGCTGGGACAGACCTGGGGTGGCCAGGAGACCCAGAGCCAAAGCCGTTCTCCGTGAGCAGGGGGGACGCAGACAGGGGTGGGTCCCTCAAGGCGAGTCAGGTCCTCACGTGAGACCTGGGAGTGTGTCTGTGGGACGACTTCCAGGGAGCCTGCAGCCACACACACTCGGACAGGGGCAAAGTGAGAGGTGATCACCCTCGTGTCCCACAGAGGCAACTGCATTCGCAGGTAACAGGGTAAGTTCAAATGAAGGAAATCACAGACTCCAGCATGAATATAACAAACCAGAAATGCACACACACGGGAACACAAGATAATGCTTTGAAAATACTTTCCAAAAATCACCTACAAACACCACAGAGGTGCATTAAAGGCAAATCAATAAGTAGCCCAGAGTTTAAGTGAATTATTTAAATGTACAAAATAGTTGAGCCCTTGGGTGAAACGGGATGACTCCGTGGAAAACTATAATTTGGCAAAGCTGAGTCAAGGGGAAGATATAGGAAGATGGAGTAGCCATAAAACTTTTTAAAAATTAAAGCAAGAATTAAAAATGTTCCGACCAGTAATCACTAAGCCCAGGTGAATCTCGTATAAACCCTTCAACTTCTTCTATGTGAGCAATACAACTTGAACCAAACCAAAACACACAGGAGGGGAAGAGCTGCAGATCTATCACCCCCGAGGGCACGGATGCCCAAACCTGAAGGAAACGTTAGCACAAAGGCTAGAGACAGACCGGAGGGCTTGCCGTGGGGCAGCAGGGAGACGAAGGAGGCACACGTACTTAACGCCACTGAGCTGTGCGCTTGGAGGCAGCCGGGATGGCAAATTGCTCTTCCATCAAACCACGAGGGAAAGAACAGCAACAGAACACAGGCTGCCCAGCCGGACAACGCCCTGGGCAGTCCTGTCCACTGCACTGGCCGCGCCCTCCCTCTGGCCGCGTGACTTGTTATCTTTCCATAGGTCGCTGAGTGAGGTTCCTGGAACTTCTTCAGAACCACAAACAAGACGGAACCCTGCTTTCAACACCTTCCATACTCACTGACCGGCACTATAATTGAGGGGAAAACACAGACATCAGAAGTGCAAAGAAGAAAAGACCGTCATTTATCAATTATGCAGTTACCTAAATTTAAAACATGCAATATCCAAAATCATTAGAATGAATAAGAGTTCTTAAAATTATTGGATTTGAAACATCAATATGGCCAAGCAAATTTCATTTTTATATGTCTGTAAAAACACAAATAATACAAATTTTATAAAAATCAACTTTTACAAGCACAAGCCAAACTCCTCGCAGGAATAAACCTCACAAGACTTGTACAGGACCTGTCTGCAGGAGGCTCCACAGGAAGATGGGACAGAGCCCGAGAGTAGGGTGGGAGGGCGGGGGCCGGAGTGGAAACCTGGTCCGAGGTCCTCACCCACTCCCACCCGCGCTGCACAGCGTGGGGACAGAGCCCCACTGTGGGGTGGAGCCTGTGAGCCCCACAGCCCCTGGGCATCTGCAGAAAGCCGTCACCGGTCACAGAAGAGCAGCAACACAGAAGCCCACAGGTCCAGGGTGCCGTGGAGCTTGCCCCAGTAGCCCGCAACTTGGACCTGCGGTGCAACTCGTCCTGAGCAAACAGCTGGCCGCTCTGCACGTCCTTCACCGCATCCTCCTGACACACAGGGGTACTGCTGGGTCTGCAGGGAAAGCAGCTGGACAGGGCAAGTGTAAAGATCAAGCAGAACCAGAAACAAGCGCCATGTGCAGGGTCTTCCACCCCCGGGAGGTGAAGGGAAGCTTCTGAAACCATGCTCTCTCTCTCCTATGGCTCCCTGCAGCCCAGGGGTTGCCCAAGGCCTGCCCTGCCCCACATGTGCCTGTCCACCCGAGGACTGTCCTTGGCTGGGCGCAGCAATGCCCGTCCACAGCGGTGCATGGTCCTGATGTCCCTGTGACCCGTGACCTGGGCAGCGCTGGCCCCGGCTGGGCTGCACAGTCTCCGTCCAGATCTTTCACCCCCACCCCCCACAGAAGGGTGGGTGATGGTAAGTGGGTGCAGAGCTGCTATTGTGGGGTGACGGGCACCAAGGCCACCCTGGCTTCTGTGTCCCCAGAACTGGAGGTTGCTCAAGTCCCCTCCACACCACAGCTGGCGTCCTGGTGGTGGAGAGGAGGCAGATGAGACACCTCTGCTCCCTGGACCCGGCCTCAATGGGGGGCTCAGTGTTAGTCGATGGAGCGTGAGGAGACGGCCCTGTGGGTCAATGTCACCCTGCACATGTTTGCGTGGTGCTTCTGCATGAGACGGACTGAGTAAGCTGTGGCCTCCTGGGTGGGCGGCCCTGCCCAGGCCTAGAGGCCTCCACAGAGTTACGGGGAGGAAAAGGGGACTCTGCTCTCTCTGTGACCTGTTCAGGTTGGGGCTGGGTCTCCTGCCCTCAGGGCTCCTGGTCTCCAGGCTGCAGATCACAGATCCAACCTCCGAGCCCTGAGGAGCCGGACCTCAGCGCAGTTCTCCTATGCCGGAAACTCCGCTCGGCAGTCAACGCGCTGTGGAGAGCCTGCACCTGTCCAGAGAGCCCAGCTCAGAGCCGCCCCTCACTGTGCCCTTGGCGACACCACACCACGGCGCCTCCCTCTGAGTCCCCCGGGCATGTTGAGCAAAGCGGGAGCCAGTGGGCACCAGGCACCGTGCTGAGACAGGATCACTGGACAGATGCCAGCACTTTCAGTGCTCAAGCATCGTGGGGCCTTGCCCCAGACGTCCACAGGCCTGGGCTGTTGTCCTCGGGTGGAAACTGTCCCTCCTGGCATGCAGGAGGCAGGGGAGACCCGGGAGACCTCACAGACTCTTCAGGAGCCAAAGCGAGAGCACCAAGCACCCGGAACATGCCCTGGTCTCCTCTCGCTGCTGCCAGGTCCCTGACATGTCGCCACTGGCTTCCCGCCTAGATGGACCGACCTCCCACCACAATGCTGGGCCATCCTCTCCCGCCTGGGAGTAGAAGCTGCCACCCGGAGCTGGGGCAGCCTCCCAACCCCACAGCAGAGACTTTGGAAGCAGAGGCCCATCCAGTCAGAGAGGGACACTGGCTCCCTGCAGCCCAGGGGACGCCCAAGGCCTGCCCTGCCCCACACGTGCCTGTCCACCTGAGGACCGTCCTTGGCTGGACACAGCAATGCTCGTCCACACCGGTGCATGGTCCTGAGACCGCGACACCTGCAAATCCTGCCCTGTACTGCAGACATGCAGGGGCTTTTCTGAAATAAAACTCACGGGAGCCTCCACCCAGGATCCCCACCACCTGCAAGACAAGGCTGGGTTCTTAGCGCAGCTGCCTGACGTGCCCGGCACAAACTTCCTCTCACAGACGTGGAGAGAGAGCACCGTCACCCCACAGACAGGGCCCATGCAGGCACGCGGCACACATTGTCCTCACAATCCCACGTCACAGCCTCCCGGGCCCAGGGCCGCTGACATCACAGGGCCCATGTAACAGCTGGGACCGAGCCCCATGGGGTCCTGACCCAGCAGCTGCCCCAGTCCAGCCTCCTTCAGCTGAGCTCAAGGGTCGGGACGCTGTCCCTGTCCAGGCCCGAGAACTCAGCTCCCACGTGGTGGGCACTGGGCAGCA